ATTGTTTAAGTTTTTGTCCAGCAGTGTTAGTATTTCCTTGATTTAAACAATTAATATYTAACAATACTCTTTTTGGATTTTTATAATTTAGTCCAATCGCCAGTGCATGCTATTCATCCAACGCCATCGCCTTCTCCACCCCCTCCCACACCGGCACCTAAGCTACCWCCCCCTTCGCATTCAGTTCAACCATACAGCTATGCTTACCCATCTTTTCTGTCCCCACGCTACCCCTACAAGTACGCCTACGGCAAACGAAGTGACATCGATGACAACGACATGCATGTGGACCATTCCTGGAAATACAGTAAAACACACAGGAAGAATCGAGGATAAATATTATTAATAATAAATGTGTAATGGTTAAATAGTAAAAATTATAAGTACAATAAACACTATTTGATCAAGCGGACTAAAACTTATCTTGTTTGATTAACCTGTTTCTTCCACTAGTCCGATAATTGGTAAACGTTTGATATAATAGAATGTTAAAATATAAAATGCATGGACAATAATGATTGGCAGATAAAGCTGCAAAACGTGAAGTACAAATCATACATACATAATCCATTTAAYATCATAAGAATTGTCACTCGGTTATGAAGAAGTTTTTAAAAAAGGTGACTGAACTAATTTGATGACCGTTGCAAATCCAGTTCCACCAAGACCGTGCTTACCTCCCTGCCCACAGTATTCTAAATGTCACCTTGGGACCTGTCATTGCAATCCTGGTTACTTCATGMATGGTAACAAATGCCTACGTAAGTATGAACCATATATTAGATTAGTGGATGCAATGGTGATTCCTACGACACTCGATCCAACGTCGAGAATAAGTGTGCTGCACAAGTGACCTTTCCTMWATTGTATGTATTCAATGAATTCAACGCCAGGAAAGGTTCAGTGACGATACTGCAATGACCCGTGCCGTTGCACACTAATGCTGTTATAGCATCGAGCCTTTGCTTCGTGTTGACGTGTCGACTGTCTTATTTCATGTAGGTATCAGAGTTTATGGTCTTATGGGCAGAAACAAAAAGAAGAAGAAAGAAGAGGATGAAGTGGTTGGCAACGTTCCCTTTCCTACCTTTTCAGCTACAAATCCTCCTACCGTGCCACAAATACCTCCTTCTCTTCCTACTACTGCTCCTCCATCTGCTTCCAGCCCTGCTTCCCCGCCAGACGTAACAGAGCCTCCAACTGAACCACCTCAAGAAACAACTCCAATATCTTCAATTCCACAGGTACGGCCTCCCGCCCCGGAAGGTCCTTCTTCACCAGCTGGGCCTCCACCCCCTGCCGAGCCGCCTTCACAATTTAGACCTCCACTCCGGTATGGGCCTCCTTCTCCAGCCGGGGCTCCTTCTATTGTCGGACGGCCTTCCGCCTATGCGCCTCCTTCKTCCTATGGGCCTCCTTCTCCTGCAAGACCTCCTTTGCGTGGAGGTCCTCCTTCTCCACCAAGACCTCCTTTGCGTGCAGGCCCTCCTCCCCCAGCTGGCCCTCCCTCGTCTGACGGATCTCCAGGGCCAGCCAGTCCTCCTTCTCAAGATGGTCTTGCGGGCCTGCCTTCTCAAGGAGACTTTTCTGTGACAGCCAATGATCCTGTTCAAGATGATGCCCCTCAATCCGACGAGCTGCCACCAGGTCCACTRGAATACAGCTTACCAGCCAAAACTACTTTACCAGTTGCACCTCCGACATATGAACGAATCACAGGTTATATGCAACCCATGCCCCAGTACGAGGCAGAAAGTCCACCAAGTTCCAACGAGAATCAAGGAAATATCGTAGATAATCCATACATGTACAATGACGCACTTCCTTCAAGCACCGCTGAACGGAGAGAACCTAGTAAAAGCTTACCCAATCCGTACATGTGGTACAGCTACCCACCAATCCCACCAAGTAATGCTGAACGCAGAGAACCCAGTAACAACTTACCAAATCCATACATGTGGTATGGCTACCCACCAACCCCACCTAGTACTGCTGAACGCAGAGAGCCCAGTAACAGCCTACCCAATCCAAATATGCAGTACAGCTACCCACCACCTCCACCTAGTAATGCTGAACGAAGAGAATCTAGCAATCGTGGTTCTTACAGATATCCACCATCAATGTATTATAATTACAAAGGGTACCCATATACATATTATTATAATTACTATGCAGATCGTGGATAGACACTCATTTCCAGTCCTCTTACATTGTGTTCAATTTACTACATTAACATAATGCAATGGAMTCATGAATTCATTATACATTACTTTCTGTTTAATTCCGGGGAACATCCACGACAACAGAATTGCTCTGACGAAAACATCACAATACAAAACAGAATGAAGACATATAAGATGTATCTTATAAAATATAAAATCCTTATCGTAGTGCAACAAYTTTTTTACAGGATCTGTTTTATTCATCTCACATCGATATCATCTATTCTATATATATTTCAGAACGTCACCTTGAATCGAAACCCAAACAACTCAAACTTGATTTTCGTTGTATTAAAAGTCACCATCGTCAAATAGAATCAAAAAACAACAACAACAAAAGACCCTTACAAACATATGACGCACTAACAAAGCAAAGGGCAGAGTCTATAATGAACATGTACTTTAATCAAATGACGAAAATGTTTTTTTTTACTAATAAAAAATTGAACTCAACCTACTGTTCAGTTTTTTCTTATTATTTAA